TCAAATCTGGTGGAGCTGGCTTGTCGAACTATCTTTTCCTGGTGCCAACAGAGTGGTTCGGGTATACCCCGTTCCAGCAAATTGTTCGGCAACAATGTTCCTCCTCGGTGGGACATTGTATTCCAGCAGGTGTGCTGACTTCATGGGGAGTATTGGGCCCCGGTTTGGTAATCTCCCAAACAAAGGCGCATGAACTGAACATTCAGTCAACGCCTCCCAATGCGCACGATACCCTAAATTCGCCCCGCAGCCTTGCGGGTAGTTTATTTAGTCAAAGGCTCGAGGTGGAGTCCCCTAAGTCAACTCTCTACTTCGGCTTCGGCAACCGGGTAGTATCACACCCTCTCGCAAAACCATGGACTGTATTACATCTTGCTCATCAGCTGCTGTTTTTGCTAGTCATTTTCACGCGACTTCATCACACGCCAATTGTTTGTTTGTTAATAATCCTCACTTTCCGTTACCCGATTCATGTGTTCAACAATCTGGCTGCGATTCCGGTTGCACCACCGACCAAGGGGTTCAACCTATGGCTCTCCTTCGTCCCCGATCCTTGTTCCGTCTGGCGTGCTTCAACGTTCGGACACTCATGCAGATTGGACAGCAAGCCGATCTAACGCGCACGCTAGATTCGCTAGACATTGATGTCTGCTGCCTTTCTGAAACTCGATTGCAAGATCCCAGGACTGTGCTCCCATTGACATCCCCAAGTGACCACGAAGACAGATATCACCTGCGTCTTTCTGGAGATCCAGAAGCAGCCTCAGCTGGTTTGGCTGGTGTAGGTATAGCACTTAGTGACAAGGCCGAAACGGCAGTAGTGGACTGGTTCCCTATTAACAGCCGAATATGTGCAGTTTCGAATTGTCACCATTACCTTCCTACGGGAACTGTTAAGCATTAGTTTTTTTTATCCGTATAGAAACATTGTTCCATTGGCCACACAGGGATAATTTGTGAGATGATTCATCCAGTAAGTGCATTAGTCCCAGGGAGGCGGAAAATAAATTACATAGTTTTCGTACTTCTTCCTATGGGACCGAGTTGGTCTGGAAATGGGGGAAAAAACTTCTACCTACAGCACATCAACCTATGTTTGTTCACAGTTCTAATCGAAACTGTTGTCCGCCGATGCAAACCTACACATGTTTTCATCAACCAGTTCGTTGTCTTTGATTTCCGGGTCTTGATGTGTAAATCCAAAAAGACTGACGCTTGCTTCAACTTTCTCCCAGCACGGTGGTTGGTTAAAATGTCATATCATTAGAGCCATTCAGTTCTTGAAATCGGTTCATTCTTTCCTATAGATAATCGACGCAATTGTCGTAGAAAGTGGTGATACTATTCCTCAAACTGTTTTGATGACGAGACCCGCTTGTTCGAGTTGGCCAATTCGAATCTTTACCTCGTTTGGT